GTGTACAAAACAATAACAAATTTTCTAATCATCGATGTAATATGAGGCATAAATTATTTTTAATAATTTATATACTAAAATATCATATCATTATGAACAATCACAATACGTATATATATTTTTTACTTTTAATAACCAGTTCGCTTCAACTATTATTATTGTAAATATTAATACTTTTTCTCGATTTTTCAAAATCATCGAATTATCTTAATTTTATTAATATTGCTTAAAAAGGTAGACTAATTTATATTAAATAAAAAATAGTCTTTTTTATACAAACAATCGGTATACGTTACATCGGCAATATTAATTAAATAAACAATCCAAAAATATAAATTGTTATAAATAAAAATTAATTATTTTTCATGGGGCACATCATTGGTGTAGAACTCAATACAATTCTAATATGATATAGAGAAAATATAAGCGAAAATACATAATATTGAATATAATTATAGTATTGTAATAAAAACATTATAAATATAAATATATACTTAGAAGAAACACTTATAATAATTGTCTGATTACCTAATGTTAACGTAAAATTCTCAAAAATCTAGTAAACGTAATATTTAATGTAAATGTTAAATTTCTTATATTTAATCGTAAAAATAAATGACCAATTCGTATCACTAACATTTGTTTCTAATTTGTCTCAGCCGTGACAAATGATCATACAAATGGTTATGAGAAATTCTTTTACAAATGAATATATTTATTACTAAAAATTGTAAATCATTTACAATGTATATTCATATAATATATTTGCATGCATTCGTATATGTGCTATGTAAAATGTAAAAGGAATCAATATTTTTAATTAGTCTGAAATTTCAATTGGATGAAGATAAAATTATATAGATATTATATGGCGATTTTAATTAATTACACTTATATATATGCACATATGTATATTTTATGATTCCTGTTTAATTACATACACAGAGATTGACTTAATAAATTATAAACACTATATACATTCATATTTGTAATTAAAATATAGTTACGATTCGAGATTAATCACTGTTGTTTACCAAATTTTTTACGACTGTCCGACATTTTAATAATTTAAAATCAGTTAATTTCATAATAAATATTTTTAGAAATAATAAATTTATAACTCAATGTTTTCAATTTTAATTAATTCAAGTGTAATAATTGAGGTTCATCTTTATTTAAGTTTGAATTGTAAAATAAATTGGAAAATAATTAGATGAATTTGAAATTAGAACTATTGTTTAAAAATTAAGACCATTAAAAAATAATTGACATCGACATGGAATATTACTTTTACCTATACACAAAGTCATATAAATATATATCTATAAGTAGCTATAAAAAAAATTACATTATATTTTTTATTTTAGAAAACACTTGGAATAATAATTGCCGAATTAAATGCTTATTTCACAATTTTGAAAAAGACAATAAATATAATATTTAAATGTGAATTTTAAATTTTTTATATTTAATCACAAAAACTAACCCATCATTCCTATCAACTAATTGTTAATAATTATGTAATAAAATAGTTAATAAATAAATGTTTAACTTAAAATTAGTCCAGAAAGCAAAACTTGCTAATAGTTAACTTCTCTACCGATCTAAAATTATTTTGATTTATTAAAATTATCCATTCATTTTAATTACCCGATCGCAATGTCTATTATTGCGTAAGTATACACCATTATATGGTGTAATAGCTATTAAAAAATTTGTCTCTAATTTATAAAATAATTGATATATTTGTTTACAATTTCGTACAACGATGAATGTCAATGTAATTTGTTGTTTTATGGAAACTTAAAGTGTATTTTGAATTAATTATAGTAATCTCGCAAAAGTACAATTATACAAAGTATAATTGTATTTGGATTGTAAATTTTAATGTATAAAGTAATTTTTTCAAAACCTTAATTTCTAATAAAATTGTGAAATCGTCATTATTTATTTTACTAGAAATACATTTATTCGTGTTTTAATTTATTTATAAGTTTTATTTACTCGTTTTTAATCAATCTGAAAATGTAATTTATAATAAATATTTATAAATCGACCCTCGAAAGTTCTTTGACTTTACAGTTTTTAATAATATAACATATAAAAAAATATTATAATAATATAATATTTTTGAATAATTTTACTCTTAAAAATAAACAAATTCACATTTCATGTTAATAGGATGTTCAACAAGAAAGTAGGTGTACTTTTGAAATGTTATTTACACTTCCCCAATGTCTCATAAGATCTGATTTGTTAAAATTTTCATACACGCGAGTCAATGAAATATTTTATCATTTTAAAAATTATATTTTTATCGTAACATAATAATCGAATATTATTTAATTTGTATTGTATATTAAATAACATAAAATATACTTATGCTGCAATTAATACGTTGGATATTTGATTTATATGATTTATATTTGCTTAACAACGAGTTGATTATAAATAATCAAAATTAATAAAAAAAATCAACTACAAAGTACAAAATTCTTATTTCCTTTTTAATATTATAAAGCTTTTCTTAAGCAAAGATAGCAACTTTTCAGAATGTTGTAACATTACAGTAATCCAAGTGATAAATTTGGACAGATAATTAATTCGTAGGTAATATTCAAGTTATTAATATTACTATTAACACTTTATCAGAAATATTTACAATAACTGGGTTAACTCCATCCATAGAAATTTTTCGACATCTCTGACCAAGGTAAATGCGCTGGTTAACGAATTACCCATCTCTTTTACGCAATTGTAATCCAATCATTGCAACCGCCTAAACGCCAATACTTCATACACTCTTGAAATACTTCTGACAATGATCTAAATCTAAATAAATAAATAATCAAAATTTTTATTCAATTGTAATTTACATTAGCATGGATAGAATGATGAAGTTTTATCAACTATCACTCAACTCAATCTATCAACAATACTGCTAAGATATAACAACCAATAATACATATACATCTGCCGTTGATTACTATTTTATATATCTAGAAGCAAACAATATTTCGGCTTTTAAAGATTGTATAATTCCTTAGTGAAATACAAACGCATTTACCTCCCTTCAATTGTCTAAGTAATTTTTTATTTGCTTAACTCCTTAAAGGAGGATAAAAAATAAATATGTTCTGTTGATCTTTGTCATTAATGATAAAGGCAATTTCGGATAAACTGTAAGGAGTTGTACCGTATTAATAAGTACGTACATATGATATATCAGATAAAAATTACAAATGTAAACGCAAGGAAATCAGGTATTTCTGGTATCGTTAAACGCAAAAAATTAATAATAATATACTAAAAAGCAATGTAAAAAGATGACGTTAAAGGACATTAAACAAAAATATAATTTTATAATTGTATTCAAATGTCTTTACATTTTCAATAAAACGGTAGAAATTTACTTTATCTTTAATTATTATCTATATTTGGTAATATAGGTATTATATTTTTGAAATTTCTATAATTAAATACATTTATTTCTAAGAAACTGAAATTACAGAAATATTAATAGAAGCATGAAAATTTATAGTTTTTATTGATGAATATATATTAATGATAATGGTTAGTTAATGAAAAAATATTATAGAATTTTATCAATATATATTGCCGAAAATTGTAATGCATTCATAATATATATTCATCATCATAAACAAATTGATATACAAATTACTATTGCAGAGTCTAAGAATTTTTAAGTAATTTAAAAAAATCTTCAATTTCTATTTGTAAGCATTTTTACAACTCGACTATATGTGCTTTTATAACATTTGATATTTTTTCAATGAACATATATAAATAAAATATTGTCATTATAATCTGAATTAGTTTGCTTAATAAGAAAAGTTGCATTTAATAATTCTGATAATTACTTACAAAAATTTTATTGATTTCTAGTACCAATACTACCATAAATGTAGAAGGATTCTATATTTTCAATTAGTCTGAAATTACAATTGAATGAAGATAAAGTTATATAAATATTATATCACGATTTTAAATTAAATATACTCATATACACACATAGGCATATTTTATGATCCCTCTTTAATTACATACACAGAGATTGACTTAATAAATTATAAACACTACACAAATTCTTATTTGTAATTAAAATATATATTTAAATTCAAATTAATATACAAATTTGACGATATTTAGTTAGGATTCAAGGTTAGTCATTGTTGTTTACCAAATTTTTTATGACTATCTAACATTTTAATAATTTAAAAATTAATTAATGTCGTAATAAATAATTTGAAAAATAATAAATTTATAAGATAACACAATGTTTTCAATTTTAATTAATCAAAATGTAATAATAAATAATTGACGTTAATATTTGTTTAAGCTTGAATTACAAAATAAATTGAAAATAATTAGATGTATTAGGAATTAGAACTATTGTTTAAAAATTAGCACCATTAAAAAATAATTGACATTGACATGGAATATTACTTATACATATACACAAAGTGATATAATATATATCTATAAGTGGCTATAAAAAAATTACATTATATTTATAATTATTTCCAACAATTTTCTATCTAAAAGAATTTTAATTTCTGTAGAATTACCTATATGTAAGATATCTTTATAATATATACTTTTATTTGCAAATTTAAAACTATACTAAAACATTATATTTTTCTTTACCATTGTTGAGCATATTACAAATTTTTTATTTACGTTTTACTTAATTATATTTAAAATTTATTATTAGGAATATAGTAATTTTTTAAATTTTTTGTACATAGTTTTTGTATGAATGACTAACAGTATTGTTCACTTAATTTATAATTCATGATTACTTTATACACAAAATATTTTATACTTGATATATTAGAAATATGTTAATTATTTGAATAAAATAAAAATTAATTATAATTTTAAAAAGCTTTTATATTAAATGCATGTTTTTCTTTGTTAAAAACATACGTAAGTTAAATATATAATAATAAAAAATAAAAAAAAAAAAAAATAAAAAATTCCATTAAATTATGAGGAAAAATACAAAATACAAATAAATTCCACGCACGTTGATGATGTTTAGGCGTAATTGAAGTAGTTAATAATTTGACTAATCTGCTTTTCGCGATCTACGCTTACGAATATTAGGACTATTAGGCAGGGATTGATTCTCCTTATCTGTCTTATCATTTTCTGATTTTTCTTCCAATTCACTTCCTTCTTCATCAACAAGATCATCCTTAACATCGTTCACTAATTCGTCATCGCCTGAGATTTTTTCGGTCATAAAACCACCACTATCGCCCTTCGGCTTTTTCTTCATTCGGTAGGATGGTTGTTTTGGTGGATAGATGAAGTCAATAACGCATACAATTAACTGAAATTAAACAATTTTGATTTAAAATATCGATAATAATGTATAGAAATAAATATTTGTTGGATCACATTATTTATTAGACTGGATTTTAAAATAAAATTAAAACGAATTTGTTTAATATAATATACTGATAATTATACTTATAATTATAATTCTTTTTAAGAAATTTGTAAAAATTTAGCATAATAATAAAATTTAATTTTGTTATTTATTTTAGCGATGAATAATGAGCATATAAACCATTACAACTTACCAGACCTAATACAGCTCCTAATACTATTGTTGCAATAGCAAAAATAAGATAACTTCCCCAAGTTGGTAATCCAAATTCTTCCATTAATTTATTATGAATACCCTGTAAATATTATCAATTTAAAAAATTAATTACATAAATAAATTTTCTTTAACCAATGATACTCAATCTAATGTAACAAATAGAACTTGAATTAATTATTATTTAATATAATAATTCTATTCGTGATAACAGAATCCTTGTTTAAACATCCTAAACTTAAATATATTAATATTGAGTACTAAATTAGAATTTTATCTTGGTAAGATAGATCCCAAGAGTACTTAAATATTTACCAAAGACTAAAATAAATAAATAAATATTCAGAGAAAATTTTTATTACTATTTATATTTATATTTATATTTTAAGATTAAACTGTAATAATTAATTATTGATAATATTAATAAGAAGTCTGTATTGACTATATACACGATGCTTTTGTTCCAGCTAAAGAATTGAGACGTAAGAATAAAATGTTTAAATTGAGAGAATTTTTAGTATAAAATATTGTAAATCATTGAAAAACTTTATATAAAGGACAAAAAGGAGTTTGCATTCTTGTAGGCAATATAATATTCTACATTGTTAAGAATATGCTGTGTATTAATCAAATATTTGATAAAATGACTAAGATACTGATGAAAACAAGAACTGCACTAATGTGATAAAAATATTTATTCCACGTGGAAAGACTGATATTTAAAGAAATTTGCGATCTTATAATTATTTGTACAAGAATAGCAATTGACAAATAATGATTGATTATGGTCTCGAAAATCATTGTAAATATATTATATTACATGGTTTATTTTTACTATGAAAGAATTGTTATTTCAAGAAAAATGTAAATGTATGGATAATAAGAATAATTTGCTACAAATTATTGACAGAAAAAGGATCGATTATATTGTATAAAAATGTTTGAGAATGTTTTAAATCAGAGTTCTGTCTGGACTTATTTAAAGGAGAAACGAGCTCTCTAAATTAACCAGCCTTAATTACTTCACACAGATAATAAATATTTTTAGTACTTTTTATACAATTATTAAATAAAATCCTTTAGATGTTAATAATAATATCTCTGAAAATACAGTTTTATATGCATACCCTTAATACTTGAGACATTCTGAAAAATTGACTAATGATAGTCATTTGTATTGAAGTCGGGCTTTTCCAACTTGGGATAGGATCTACTTTTAACCATGTCTTTTCCGAGACAAATTCAACAAGCGAACTTTTATCCCTTGGACTTTTGTATTGACGAAAAACTCCATCTTTTACACTATGAAAATAATGACAGTATTGAAATTATGACTAAGTATACACAAAAAAAACTTTGATTAAAAACTTACTGATATATTGTTGGCAATGCTGTAACCATAAATCGACCGCTAAGTCCAGGAGCATCGGTCACATCGATTTTGCCAACATTAATATTAAGTTGTTTTTTCTGAAAAGCAAGACTTTCCCATACTGGATCAAGAGCCTTGCATGCCGGACACCATGGTGCGTAACTAAAATGAAATAATACCTTCGCTAAAATATAATTATAATCTTATTTCACAGTCTATAATGATAAAATACGAACATAAAAAGTATATGTTTTTATAAATTTTTTATTTGTATAAATATTGAATTTATGATGATATTGAAATTACTGAAATTGTGAATAAAAACTGTTGATAATGTGAAATAGAATATTTTTATGTTATCAATAGATTATTCTCTAAAATTATAGATAGACAAATTTGTATTAAATGAAACAAATTTGTATTCAATTTGTATTCAATTATTAAATAGAACTTTAAAATACTTTTCTTTAATATGTATGCTAGGACTAAAATAATTGTAATATAATTTTTACATTCCAAATTTCTCATTAGTCTCATACCTAGCAATAAATTAATTTAATAATAAATTGGAAATATATTTGATATTAAAATAAATTAATATTTTGATCAATTCTCTCCATTCATATTTCAACAGCTATATAATTAATTTCAAATTATATTACTAAATGTAATTAAAAGTACCAAATGCTAATATCAGTTTTATTTAATTTATCATTAACATAATCTTGAAAAATATCGATTTTTACACATAATATTATAAACATCAACAATCATGTAACCTATCTTTCGAGGGTCGATTCTTTTAAAATTTTTTTCTTTTAATGCTGACAGATTGAAGAAAAAATTCACAGACATTCAAAAAAAAAAAAAACAAAAAAAATGTTAATTAAAATGTCGATCAACGTCTTAATTATTGGGTTATCAACTTTTTCAATGACACAAAACCTAATATTAATGTGAAAATAAGAATGTTGCAGAGGTATTTGAAAACGTGTTTACAATACTTACAATTCCACCATCCATTCGCCTACGAGCATTTGATCCCAGTTATTCTCATCGAGTTTCTCGACCCAGCCATTTCTCTTCTGAATGCTCGCTTTAACGAGCGTTATAAGAACAATAACGACGAAACTCCGGGCGGCACACGACATTTTACACGCAAAAATAGTCGCGTGCAAGCGTACAAGCGCTTAGCATAGGCAGTAGTCGGTGGCACTAGGTACTAGATAATGTGTACCATGCACCGAGTGCCACTACTACTTAACTACGCTCTCTCGGCAACCCTACCACATACATTCGAGCCAATAATCGCCGGTATCGTGTTCGGTTTGACTCCTGTTCCCCCTCGCCCCTCCCACTAGCGCTAGCTCGCTCGCTCCCACTCTCTCTCTCACTCTCTCTCTCTCTCTCTCACTCTCTCTCTCTCTCACTCTCTCTCTCACTCTCTCCCTCCCGCCCTCGCCACTTTTTACCCAACTCGCAACTTTGGCATTATGATGTTTACGCAGATTTACGGCAATCTCTCCGAGACCTTGCAAACTCTCTCGGGCTGAGCAACATTCGACAACACGTGGTTGAATGATCGATAACAAATTATTATCAATAATTCGTGTAGTTTGATGGAAAGACCCAACTATTTTGTATTCAAGAGCTTTGGAAATATTTGAAAGATGTAAAGGCCTTAGGCAGCATTTCGCAATAATCTTTAATGCCTATGTTTCATAAAACATTCAAAACAATTTCCAATAATCCCTACTGTAATGCGTGTGCAAATGTATTTATAGCCTTTGAAAATAAAACAATCATAAGAATCGTATTTAATGGCATTCGATATTAGTCTTTTTACTTAGGGATAATGTACACCATCGTCCGTAGTTGACGCGCTATTATTTAAATATAAAGCAACATTCATAATGAAATAGATAATTATTAAATTGTCTAAATTAAACAATCGATTATAATATTAAAATGAATATAATATTTCAGGGACGCTGGTAAAAACTAATAATTGAAATTGAATTTGTTCCATTGTAAAATTAATGATATTTTCATCGATTCGTCATTAATTGAGAGCTTAAATCTTAACTAATAAGCCATAAATTTATATCTAATCCATATTTGTAAATGATACACGACTACTGTAATCGTAATTATGATATATGCATATTTTTTTTTGTTGTTTTTTTTTTGTTTTTTTGTTGTTGTTATTTCTTTAGCTGTTTCTATTGGTATGATCGACATTTCAGTCAATAGAATAAATATTACATTTTAATAAAGCTTTAATGTTTATTATTTTCCATGCATCTAATAATAATTGGGAGTTAAAATTCTTTTATTTTACTTTGAGCTCTAAGAATTGACTTTAGTGTGTCAGCAAATATATTTTTCTTGTATATTCCAAATAATATCAATGAGTTTTAGTAGTGCAATTTGATATAAATGAAAATTAGCATTAATTAATTTTCATACAGATTTTACAACATTTACAAATTGTTTGACACTTATTGCCGCACATTCACAATACAATTAATCATTCGAATGTTCATATAATTTTTCAGTAGACTTTTTTCAATCATGGTGATATTAATAATCCAATTAAACGAGCAAAATTTATGTAGTAAATTATATATATATATATATATATATATATATATATATATATATCTCGGCATGCATAATGATAAGAATAGATAGTGAAGTTTTGTAATAAATCCAAAAAATTAGAAAAGGCATGTTGAAGTCTTTTTCTCGATTAGTCCATTAGTTGATAATTGATTTCAATTATCATTATGTTATTCAATGTATATATATTCCATTATCTTTTTGCTTCCATATCGATAATATTTTTAATGAGCAATTATATTTTTAACTGTAAATTAATTTGCTTTAGTAATTCAGCTAAACTTGTACAATATATTTCGAAGTTCCTCATGAAAGCCAATAAGATTGCAATTTTAGTGCGCATGCGGAAAAATTCGTGCACTGCCTAACCATTGTTGAACAAGATTGTTTTCCACGACAAAAAAGAATCACGCTTAGATTTATAATTTTAAAATCAATGTTTTATACATAAAAGTCATTAACAAGTGTACGCGTGATTTTGTTTGGTTATGACGGACTAACTATTCTAAAAGGGAAATATTTAAGACAGAATTAGCCAATATTTATATTGTTTGTTGATATTTAAAGACTCATATACTAATTTAATTGTATTGTATATAGTAAAATACTTTTATCTCTTGTTAGCATTAAAAATGTCTGATGGTAAGAATTAGAATTGACTCTATTTAAATACTGTTAGCATAAAGAAATGTTAACGAATGAAAATACCGCGACGTCAATGTATTGACGTTATTTGTTTATATGTAATTGATTTTTAGAAGAAGTAATTCGACGAAGATTGTTAATTGATGGGGATGGCATTGGAGATGATCGTAGACTCAACGTGCTATTAAAGTCATTTATAAAATGGGTTAATAACCCAGAGACCGATCATATTTTACATGAACGAATGCTCTCGCAATTATCTCAATGTGAATTTGCTCAAAGAAAGTCGCGTTTAGTGTCGAATATGAGTCAAGAAGAGTTGGAGAATTATGAAAACTTGTCCAGTGAAATTGATGTAGAAATTGAAGAAGCAAAGAAAAATATAGAAACTACAAAAATTGAACTGCAAGAAGCCAAACAAGTTAGAAAGAATAGGATAGAATACGACGTTTTGGCAAAAGTAATTAACGAACAACCGGATAGACAAGAAACGGATATTAAACTTGCATTGCTTCAAAAAGAATTAGGAACGCTAAAAGTAAGTAATAAATGAATTAATTAGTTAATTAGTATTAGGAATTATTATTCATTATATAAATCGGACTTTAATTGTTATTACATTGAATGTTATTATCATAAATGGTCGAGCTATATAAATCATATTTTATTTTATTACTAATAGTTAATATCTATCAAAATATTATATATAAATATTTAACATTTCTTTAAAGAAAATTTTTTTTTATATTTAGGAAAAATCGCAGAATTTAGAGCAGAAACTGGAAATGCGTAGAAAACAATTCCATGTTCTCATATCATCCATTCATTCTTTACAAGGAATGTTAGATGAATCTGACGAAGAAATAATGGACGTTAGTTTAGAAGATGTTAATATGTCACCAAAAGTTGTCACATAAATTGATTTAATAGAATGCTGCTTATTAAATCATAGGACAATTATAAAATCATAATATTTATAATTAAGATAGAATTTTTTGTAAATTTATTTATATAGTATTACTTTCCAAACTTTAATTTAAATTTACTTGTTTTAGGAACGTGTCGAATTGTTAATGATAGTCTAGTTGAACGTTTTAGAATTTGTGACTCTTTGTAAATTTGTGAGCACATATGTAAGTTTTTTATACGAGCTTGAGTTATTGTATCGGTAATTCTTTCTTCGATCGAATGTAAATAATTGTGGTATAAATCATCTTGTAGAATTAATAAACTCCTTGGTTCTAATAATAAACTAAATTCATGTTTTCGTGATTCCTATAATAAAAACAATTTAAAAATATCTTATTAGCATGTGTGAAATATATAAAATAAGGATTATTTATAATTAAATATTCTTAGAATCAACGATACTGTGTAATATCTTAAATATTTAATTGTATTATTCTTACAATATTGTCCGTATCAATGGCTTTATGAAATTCTAAAAGTGTATGCGAACCACAGCTTATTGTCGTAACTATTGGATGAAAAAGAGGTCCATCGGAATGTGCCTATAAAAAACCAACATATATTCCTAATAATTTCTTGATAATTTAAAATTTTAGAAAGCTGATGAAAAAAAAACTTTAAATCTACCATAATGCCTTGACCGGACAAATACTCATTTATTAATACATGATTAGGTCTTTTCTCTTTATGAAACATATTTAGTAATGTTATCTTATCAATCTGTGCTTCGAGCCACTAAAATAAACATATGATTAAGCATATTTTTATATAATTTTAAGCACAAATTGTTTTTAAAATAACTCATAAACTTTAGGAATTTCTTCAGCAATCATCCCTTTAACGTGTGGTATGCCGCCATAATTTTGAAGACGACGATGACTAAGTTGAGTCCATTTTGGAAGCGGAGCATTATATATTTCTTGAATTAAATTTTTCTCCTCTTCTTCGGTTATAAAATTAGGAATATAATTTATTAAAGATGGAACCTAAAGTTATGAAAAGATTAACAAATTTTAAAAAAAGGTGATCAAATAACTTTATTATTAAAAAATTATACTTTTAAATTAACTATTTTTAATTATAGATTATCCGCTTGTATTTTAATTTATTAATTTATATAAATATAGATTTTAAAATACCTGATAATTCTTATAAATTTGAGTATAATATGTTGAATTTATATAATTTACATAATCAATGATTAGAATTATCATTTGTAATATTTACAATTTATATATATATAAATATTTTTCTTCCATTAAGAAATGTAATATTTGTAAATATTATTTAAACATTTATATAAGTGATTACCTCTTTAACTATACTTTCAGCTAATAAATTTTGGTAATTAATCAATTCCATTATATATACTAATTTTAGTATTAAAAAATTATATTTAGCATGAGAAATAGTTAGATATATAAAATTTTAATTGAAAACATGTACATCGATATTTTATTTTACAATCAATGCGATTTAATTGTTTAAAGTAAATAGCAATTTTTTGTTATTGAACTTTGGATTGTTTAATAGTGACTTTTAAGTTCCTATACTTAGAATTCGAAAAAAGCATTAATAATGTTGTTAATTTCTTTTTTGCCAATGAAACATTCTATCAAGTAAATTTCATAATTATACGAATTTAAATAATACGAATAATATATAAAAAATCATCACGGGTATATATTCATTGGAGATGCTATTTGCAGGTTATACGTAATATAAATATAAATCTAAAAATAAAATACTAAACACTTTATTGTTTTCTGAAAACTGACGGCGTACCACCAAGAATTACACGTATGACCGTCAATTTCATTTAAATGTTTTCGCAATAATTAACTTTGCGATTCATTAAAAACTACAAGGAGCATTGGTAAATAACGAAGGAATTAAATTAAAGAATGAGTTTATATAAATATTATAAATACAGAATACTTTTACAACGATCTAAAATTACGCCAAGTTTATTCAATTTTAATCTATTTTAATTATTATTTATACATTATAGTGAGATTAAATAAATGAAATATATATATATATATATATATATATATACATTTGTATGCAAAAAATGTAAATTATCAGTTATTTAAAAATAATTTACAAGTAGTGTGGATTGTAAATTGTTTCTAGTGAGTAAAGTAAATGTTCGAAGATGGTATTTGGCTTCATCAATCGCCTCATTGTTTCAAACCATACTCTCCGATTTCCAAATTTTCTATAATATGCGCTTTATCCATATCAGTATTTGTTAAGCAAAAATTACGGTGGCAAATAAGATATTAGCGAACCGAGAAATATTTTTAAATTCCGTGCTGGTGGGACGCAGAGAAGGAATAAGCGATAATAGGATACATGACAGTCAATAACGCAGACGGGAGCGAATTCCAGGAATCGAAAGACTGAATGAGCCTCTGGCGTCGCGACGTTAGTCGACATTGATGACTGCGCATGTGTGCGTGCGTGTGGGTTGCGCGCGTGTGGGTTGCAGACTGTAGCCATAGCTTAAGGCGAATCTGCCTGATCGTCAGATTGTTTTATGGCGTGGTTTAGAGTAAGAGTGGCCATTAGCCTGCTCGCGATGTATTAAATTGTGTTTTAACGTTTTATGCGTAACCTTTAATGGCAACAATTGCTTTGCTTTGGCGTATCAGTGCGTACGATTCTTGTTTTCGTGATCAAGTTTCGCCAATGCGTATTTGGGTGTAACAAAGATAGTAGACGCAGGAACGAAGCCATTCACGTGAAGACGTGAGTACGTAGGAGCGCAACAACGCTTTGGCGTAGGAAAAAGAATAGAGTTGTAAGGTAAGGTCTCCGTCTTATCTATCGACTATTACTTTTAAGCAATAACTTAGGTTCACATTTTAATTTTTTTCCTATATTACATTTTACGTTAAGAAGCGTATTCCGTGACGTTCGAGAATGAAATGTGTTTTCACGTCCAATTGGCATTTGTATATTTATTATGAAAATTTTGCATGGCCTCGCACGTGCGCGTGCGTATTTTCTTCAAAACAATTCCGTATTGTGTTTATCATATCATTTTTATCTAGTTTTGATTGTCAAAACTAGTTTGAATGAAATGCATTATACGATAAGACAGTGACATTTAATCTATCTGCGTATTGTACGTCTTATAAAGGATTTTAATCGGAGAAAAAATTTTCTATTTAAGTCGGTGGCGAGTATCTATATATATATATATATATATATATATATATGCATATGTATATATAGCTGTTGGGTATGCATGAATGTGTATATTGAGTAAATGGACATGCGATTGTGGGATCAATCTGTTTTGATACTTAAAATCAAATAACATTTTTCTACATAATGATTAATAGTAGAATGTCAACAATGGGAACTATTTAAATAGTATTCTTTCAGTTTTTTTTTTTTTTTTTTTTTTTAATTAGAAGATAATAGAAGAAACATGACATAATTAAATTGAAAACATGGACTTTGTTTCTTTACAGAATTTATATGCATCGCATATAACATTTTTATATTAATTATAATAAAACGATTGATTATAATACCTTCAATACATATTTATACTTTATTCATAGATTGATGTTGATGATAATGAAATATTATTTATAATGGATGTAATATAAAATTGTACACATTTATATATAGATAAATTGAATTCTAATTTGTTAATTATAAATAACAGTATTAGTATATTTATTAGACTACTAAATGGAATGTATTGAGTTATTTGTAATACTGATTATATTGTCAGGGATAATATTTAAAATAAAGTAATATGGGCCAATTATATATTATATTAATCATTAATTATTATATATCACTTTTTCATTATAATTTTCATTACTTACTTTTTGTAATATTATGCTTCATGAATATTATATATTATTAGCATATAATTAATTGAAGTTGAAAATATCAACAGCTTCATGAATTTATTATTTCATACTTTACGATAACTTTTATTATTTTGATTAATAATTATAAATATTGAATGTAACTTATTATTTATTTCAGATGGATACTGTTAAAATAAGCAATGTCTTATATAACACTGTAACATAGATCAGAAAATAAATATTCTTTTAATTTACATTTATTATGGCAGAGAACAATTTTGATGAATTTAAATAAAAATTCCAGAAAAAAACTTCTGAAGATAAAAAAAAATGCCTCACCGTGTAGTTAATAATGGGACAGCAGTTTGCTAGTCTCAGGGAATTTTTCAGAATGGAAAACGAAAATCAATCAGAAGGATATTCTGAATCGATCCGGCATTTATCTCTTAATACGCTGGATCAAAGCGAATCTGATAATATAACAAATAGAGAAAATAATGGAAATATATCAACCATAAATTTCCATGCGATTCATAACAGGAATAAGGCAGACGATAATTTGGATAATGACGTAAATTTGGATTTGGATAACCATAATTCTAGATTTGAGTCCATATACAGTCAGCCAATAGATGGTCAAGAGTCAAAACCATGCTTCAATAATGGAAATTTTATTGCCAATGAACAAGAGACCTTCAAACAAGAAGCTTGTTGTAGTAACTCTGCCAGCAGCAATACTAGTAGTAGTTCAGAAGATAGTCCAGTAAATCCCGTTTTCCAAAGATCATCTAAAACACTTTCTTTTGGAAAACGAAAAAGTGAGTTCATTTTTTGTTTAAAAATGAGTAAACACTGAGAATAACTTATTGTTTATATTGTACATAAAAGCATTGTTCTTTGTAATAAAGTGAGAGAATTATTAAAATTATCTTAATAAAACTTTAGGTAAGCAACGAAGTAAAGATCAGAATCCAGTATGCAATCACGTACTATCTTCGAAAAAAAAACGTAGTAACTGGGTTTTGAAGTTCAATTGTACTAAAAACAAAGGCTCCAAGAATACAGATATTCCTGGTCAAGGCAATAGTAGCTCGGAGTGTGTATGTACAGGATACAGAAGAACGGAGGAGCATCCTATGGGTGCTGGTATAGTTTTCAACAGCAAGTCAGCTCCGCAGAGTCCAGTATTGGGACCACTGCCTCCTAGTCCTGTCATTGACCTCTCACGTTTTAATCCAGAAGAGTTTCCAATGGAGGTAATTTATCCTTTTAATGAATTATTTTAAAGAACATGTCATCCTTGTGGTCTTATTTAATTATTTGGCTATTTTGTTGTTACTAACCATTTTGTCATGACTTTATTTAGATTTTGTATTAAATTCTATATATATATATATATATATATATATATATATATTCTAGTTAGTAAATTTTTAATGTGTTATACAAATAATATAAATAAGTAATGCTGCTGTCGGCGAGCAAATTTTTATTTAAACTTTAATCATTTTTTTATTAACAAAGTTTATAGCTTAACAAACAAGCTAAACAACTTCGCGCCTGATTAATATCTAGAAACGTACTTACAAATAAAACAAAACTATTTTGTATCACAAACTACGACATATAATTAATAATAATTATAATACTTGACTTTTATTCGAAAAAACTAATTTTAAGAATATTATAATTTAAACGTTTTACATTATATTTACATTGTTTTTAGGATATTGTTAAACTATTAATAATAATTACATTAATTTATTATTTAATTTTTTGCATGTATTATCGTAAGAAACATTAAAAGAAAAGATTAAGAATAGCTGAAATAAATTTTAGAACTTACAAACGAAGTATAAAAAATAAATTTAATATCAATAAATTGGATATTAACATAGATAAGATAGTTTCATTAATATATGGAAAAGTATAATAATAACACTTTTCTTGCACTGAAAATCTGTTAAAAAGTTCTCCGGTTTACTGCTATTGTTTAATTAAGTTATCTACGCCACTAAAAGCTGAGATATCTCGTAAAATATTTTTTAAATAAAATGCGATTACGCAATCAATCAGAAGGGTAAATAAATTTATATATATATATATAAAAAAAAAAAAAAAAAAAAAAAAAGCGACGTAAGAGCACGGCTGCAAAGAGCACGGGAGATGGAGGAGGGTGTTGAACCACCCCCAGGCTATCGGCCCAATTGCCCATCTGGTATACAGGTCCATCCAAATGGTATAACAGTTGACAGTTTAGCGGCATTGTTCCAAGCTCATGCCGGGATTCAGGCGGCCGCTCTTACCGCCTTATCACAAATTGATTCGACGTTAATTTCTAATATAGAAAGACCTATACATACTCAGGTTTGTTATAGTTGTGTCTTATTTGTCTCATTTGTATTATCACTAATTGATATTGAAAATTGAAATTTTACTCCTCAAATGACTTTTACAATAGTATGTATTATTTAAGTGTCCATACGTATTCATTACGTATTCAAATTACTAATAAAATTACATAATAGACTTTCTAAACGCATACTGTCATCCTTTCATGTTATCTGCAAATCTTTTTTCTAAAGTTTCAAAGCTCGTTAGTGTAGAGTAATGAAATTTTGTAGTTGAAATAAGTTATAAAGTTGCATTATGAGCGCTTAAACGGTATTTTGAAATAATTGAATTAACGGATATTCGTATACCCCTGCTTATTACAGTATGTGAAGTGCTTGTAAATTAGATAAGTAATATTTTTAATATACGGGCTAATTGTTGAAAATGGCATTTCTTGTTACGTGATATTAAGGGCCCAGTTAATTACCTCGATATTAAAGGAATAATTTTTATAAATATTTCAATGTCAAATAGTTTGTCGGTGTAACGAATAGATTACAATTCTATAATTCTAGCTATATTATATATTTGAATTTTAGGTTGATTATGTACACTGTCTTGTGCCGGATTTAAAATCTATCACAGCATGCTCCTTTTATTGGGGTAAGATGGACCGATATGAGGCCGAGCGCCTTTTGGAAGGAAAACCAGAAGGAACTTTTCTATTGAGAGATTCTGCGCAAGAGGAATTTCTCTTTTCTGTAAGCTTTCGTAAGTACGGACGCTCTTTGCACGCAAGGGTGGAGCAGTGGAATCACAAGTTCAGCTTTGATTCGCATGACCCGGGTGTTTACGCTTCTACAACGGTAAGCTTTTTATAAGTATTTACACAACGCTTCTACGTATTTAAGTAATACAATTTTTCTTATGTTGAAAAGTTTTTTTTTTTTTTTTTTTTTTTTTTTTTTTTTTTAATAATAACGATCGTTGAGATATCTTTAAATTATAAAATTTAAATTCATTTTTCCAGTAATATTGCTCAAATCATTCATCAAATCACCGGCCTAATTCATCAAAATAAAATTTATGACATTATTTGCATCTATGTGATAATTTTGAAAATTTATTGATAAAGCCAAAGAGATATAAATATTTGACAGTATTCTATAAAAAGATAAATTTTAATTTGAGTAAAAGATGTTCTCACATTAAATGTAATCGATGAAAAATAATTAAAAATTAATTTCGTATTTAAGTTTTGATCTTAATCAATTTTTAAATAAATACGCTCTATGTATGTATAGACTGTAGTAAACGATAAGTGAGGAATTTTTAGAATTCAAATATACAATAATCAGCTAGAGTATAAAGTTTCGGTAAAAGAATTCTGGCTAAAAACATATATAAATTTATATTAAAAATACTTTTGCATAAATTTGGTGAAATTCGTATTATTTATTGTTATAACATAGTACATAAAATCTATTGTAAAATTATTTATTAAATATTTATGTCGTGCATTAAAAATAAATATTAAGTGTACGTTCCAACACGTGGAATGTATACGTAATTTTACTGCATAATTTCAATTAAAAAATTGTTAGACTTATGGCTTTTTAATCAAATTAGATGTATTTTTTTTTTTTTTTTTTTTTTTTTTTTTTTTTTTAATAACAGCTTTAATAATTTGATTTTTATTTGCACCTTTTTCATTAAGATTACCATAGACTTATACAGTTCTTTTCTCGTTTTATCGAGTAAGAAGAATAAAAATAAGTTGTTTTAAAAACGTGACTTTCACTCCTTTCATTCCAATTGACATGAACAAATTACGAGATCGTTATGCACATAATATTGATATTATATGAAATTTTAGCTTTGTGGCCCGATTCGTGTTTGTTGGCCGGCCCCAAGTGTTTGTTATCATTTATTAATAATTGAGCATTGATCCTAATGATAGACATGATCATTTATTAGAAGGGCGGAAAATCAGGGCTTGCGCAAACGTTATAGCACAATTGTATTTCCACAATTCAATAATAAATATTACAATTCTCAGGTTTGTGGCTTAATTGAGCACTACAAGGATCCTTCCTGCTGCATGTTCTTTGAGCCGATGCTGACCATTCCTTTGAATAGGAATTTTGCGTTTCCGCTGCAGCATCTCTGTCGTGCTGTCATTACCACTCGAACGACTTACGACGGTATCAATAAGCTCCAATTGCCAAAGACTCTGAAGACCTATCTCAAAGAGTATCATTATAAGCAACGAGTAAGAATCAGGCGACTCGATACCGAGAGCGACTTACAAACGGATGGAAAATCCATATCATATTTGCCGTTGATGTAAATGACTTTTATTATACGTACAATTTAAGACATATGATCATTCTCCCCATTAATGCTCATTATGCATGAATTACCGTTCAACTCGAGTGCGCCCCATCGAATGGTGCTTTCGTACACTTCATCAGAGTTTTCCGTCATCTTCTTTTATATTCTTCTTTATTATATTCTGAAATGCTGAAATACAGTAAAATTACAGTATTTTTTATTTCAGTTGATCTAAGGATTATTCAAACATTTATAAGGATATATGACAAAATATTCAAAGTGAGCTTTAATAAGAAAATTATTTTATTGTCTTTTCTTTTTTTTTTCATTTTATTCTATTTTATATTATTTTATTATTATTAATGATTCGATTATAATGTAAACTTAGTCATTTTTATAAAATTATCATATAATCTAAAATGTAAATTAAATTAATCATGAATATGTTTAGTACATTATCTAAGCATGTAATAATTTTAATTTCTTATTAGGGTCTTAAAGCTATTAGTTATTGTTAAAATTACATTTTATTATGATATACGTGTAAATAAACTTTGAATACTAGTATAAAATATTGAAGGTTAAGATTTTGTGAAACATATTTTTAATACGAGTTTTTCCAGAAAATTGTTTAGGAAAATGTTTTTAAAATTAGTGTAAAAAATATTAAATATTTATAATAGTAAAATATATAAATATTCAAATGCCTTATTTTAATTTAGTGAATGGATAACAGAATGCTGGAAAACTCGATGATTGAACGTAAAGATATCCGAAACATAGTAAATGGTGGGATAATGTTGCCATCCTTTTTCTTCCTTGAGGTATTTTTCAAGATGATGCCATTCAGCAGGTCATGCTTGGATTGAATGCATTTCTTGTGAGGATACCTATATTTGAATCGTTAATTGTAAAATTGAATTGTCATTTAGCAGATATTTGCAAAAATTGACGTATATTAAAACAAAATTAAATCAAACACATTATTAATAAGTTATATATATATATATATATATATATATATATATATATAACTTTACATTTAATTAAATTATTATATTTGTAATTTTATGGTAAAAGAAAATTTTTAAATTAAATTTATTGTTAAATGTACGTAATTAAAACACGGATAATAACTAACAATATTATATCTTATTAATAAAATACGTATTTATATTATATTACATTTTTTTAAATCTGTTCTTAATTGATTGTAACATTACTGATAAATATTTATAAATACTTTATAACAATTAACGATTCATTTATAAAAAAAAAATATATATATATATATATATATATATATATATATATATATATATATATACATTCGGTCGATCGACTGCTCTCTATTTTTTCGTATAGATACTAATGTTTATTTATAATATATTTTTGTTTTCGATTATTGTATAAATAGCGATATATTGGAGGAGTTAGGCCTATTGAATGAATGAAAATCATAATATTTCACAATTCTAATTAACCTATTATGTTTAATGAAAATGATAATTATAATAATATGTATTTACTAATTTTATTATTTTTGTATAAAAATGATGAGTTTAATTCATTTAATGCGTCCTAATGTATTCAGAATTGCTTTTCTAATTATCATTCAAATTTTAATGAAAGCAAAATAAGTAATTTTTTTATTTGCCAGTTACCATCGATACTTACATTGAACATATTTTTCATACAATTACAAAATAAACGAGTTTATATTTCATATTAACTTTCTAGAATTTCAATCATATTGCCGTTTATCAAAATTCAATATAAAGACTATTAATTTAAACAAAAATGTGAAATAAACAAAATGTGTCTATTCCAAGGTATCAAGAAGACATGCATTCAATCGACACATAAATAAGCTTGAAAATTATTTCACTTCAATCTCAATAGTTTATATTCGCAATATCACATACATGATTAAAATAGGAAGGCTTGTAAGTGCTTAATCATGGAGATACTTGTATCGATGTCAGGCTCTTTTTTTTTTATTTTAACAGGACAGTACAGGGATGCACTATCTGGTTAATCTATTGTTTTTTTTTTTGTTTTTTTTTTTCAAGGTTAGAAATTTTTTATAATTATTTAAGACTTATTAAAAATTTATATAATTTCAATTTCATATAAATTTTCTTTTCATTTTCGTTACTTATTTATTATTATTATTATTATTATTATTATTATTATTATTATTATTATTAATATATGTATTGCCAGAAAGTGCAAATTTTTAATAAAATTTTGCGTTACATAAAGAACGTACAAAAGTTGATAAGTTATTGATTAAGAATAGTATAGTTTACTTAAAAATATTTATCTTGCACATTAACTAACTTATTTCTAACAATATTTTATATATATATATATATATATACATGTATCTGTTTTTAATTATTTTTAAATATCAATTAACGTTTTCATATAAACGAGTCTTCTTAATTAATAACTTGTCAGCTTTCGATAAGATTAATTAGAATGTTCCGGTTATATATCTTTGTAAAATATACATGTAATTGTCAAAATCAGCTATTCAAACCTTTTATATATATCATCTGATAAACTAATTTTTCTGTTTACTTTGGCAATCATGAAGAAACCGTTTATTTTGCGAATGTTTATTAGAAACAAAATAATATTAGCTTCCAACTGTAGATGTCGATCATAAGTCAATAATTTTTTTTTCTCGATTATCATGAAATACGTATAAATTAAATCAGTTAAATCCAAACAATGTGGATTTCAAAACATTTTTTTGTTTCGTTGTTTTATATGAAGCTACCACCTTGTTACCTTCGTACACAGTAACGTTGTGTTTGGCACTAAATTTTAGTACACTCCAAGATGTTGGAATTTTGAAGAATAATTAAATAGAATGTTTCTTTATTTATGTGGCATGATGCAATCCAGGAAATGTGAACTAATTGATACAGATTCTGCGAAGAAAATCTAACTCCGAATAAATGAATTTGTTCAAATCACTTTTAACAAATAAGATAAGTAGATTCGAACATACAAACGCAATATCTAATGCGTGTAGGGTCATCGAAGTATCGGTAAAGGTTAGTGATAATTATCGATTTTATATGATGGCAAGCGCGTGCATGAAATTATCATTTGGAAATTCTTACGTTGGATTTTAATCATCTATTCCTCACAAGATTCATAATTTTTAATGAGTGAGAGAAATGTTTAGATATATCGTTGATTTAATTTGTACATAAAATATCGTATGAGGATTCGCTCTTCTCGATTTCATTCCATCGACACTCAATTCTCTGCACTTGTAATGTATCTACACTCCATTCAATAAGACATTTTAATTTCCTTTTGGAATAGGGATATATATTCTAATTTAATTGTGACATTAGCATATTGAGAATTCATATAGCGATAGTATCTAAAACTCTAGTAACAATAATCTAAAAAATCGCACTTTAAAATTACTTTAGAAAATCTTTAAGATCAGACGACATTAATGGTAGATTAAAGAATTGAGATAATTGAAATAGTCCATATAATATTTTTCATCTGAATAGTGAATAATCCATTGTAAAATAAAAACATTTGATATTTAATACTACATCATCCCCTTATGCTTGTTATAACTTTGATAATATGAATGTAAACTGCATGTGGAGCATACAAAATTAACTTATCTTGCAATGGCCTCTATAATTATTAAAGAAATAATTCATCATATATGCGTATATAAATTATGTATCGGCAATAATAAGAAATTAGACGCGATAGAGTGTAAAATTCGTGATATTTTATATGAGTATTCGTGATTTCATTTGTGACGTGGTAGTAATTATTAGTTACACAGATGATACACGGAAGATACACAGTTTCACACCCCGCGTTGATTATTATAATTACTGAATTGTATTTTTCGCGCTGAGCTAGAATCGATAATTGCATCTCATTAATATATCTCTTAATATATCGAATATCGCAATCATGTTGTTCTTTTCCATGAGTTATACCGCGACTATGACGTAAGGCAGGTGAAGATGATTAGGAAGCTGACAGGTTAATATTAATAAAATACTCTGAATTGCCTTGTTTCGATTTATCTTGAACGTACGTCTCTAAAAAGTTTGGTATAAAAAAAAATCTCGTGAAGAATAATTACCATAAACAATTGCAATAATCATTACTCTAAAAATGTAATTGAAATTCCTTTCTCTGTAAATAATATAGAATCGTAATTCAATATGTCACTTGTTTCGTTTCAAATTTCATTAGTAGCAAAATTTTTAATTTTGTGCTACGATCAAAGTTTGCTGCATACAAAATCTTACAAAGATTTTTTCTTTCGGCTACTTTACCCTGATTTCAATACTGGAGTAAACTCTTATTGCAACGTCATAATCGTTTCGAGATTCTAGACCGTACAGAGTATTATAAAACACTTATCTCAATCGTATTAAAAGTAAACTCTCTATTTTAACTCGTAAGAGCCAGTGTGAGAGGATATTCATAAAATGTTATGTTATATAACGTAAAATTATGTTGGTGTTTATCATTGATTGACATTCATCACAAAGTATTAGAATGATCCCATTTAACGTGGGATATATTATGGCAGTTGGTCTTCATTTCGCCATCTCTGTTCTTCATTTACTTTTTTAACAATATCCATCATCTATATCTCTAGTTTGGTATTCTTAGTATGGAAAATGGTACAAATTGCATCTCTTCGCGAGTGCATGCATGGCGGTATGTTACATCGCACAGCAACCGAAGGCTCGAGTGCTCAACACTCCGATAAATAATTAATAATGGTAAATAACAAATTTATTAGTTACTGAATTTGATAGCCGTCTTCGAAGCAGTGGAACTGTAAAAAGCACATACGCATTAAATTCTTATTGTTACTTGCAACCACCGTGGTGTTTCAGGCGAAGGGTAGGTTGCTTATTCCGTTTGAGCACCTTCTTCGTCCATTATATATTTATATATATATATATATATATATATTTTTTTTTTTTTTTTTTTTTTTTTTTTTTTATGTATATTGTTGATTAGTGTTATCGTCTATTGCGTAATATACAGATTTCACAATTCAACTCGTAATTCACTTCCGGACAGACTTTACTCCGAAAAGCTACGTCGGCAGACATTTACCAATCAATTATTAAAAAT